CCCCCCCCCCCCCCCCCCTTACGAAGTTGTTAACACGTATTTGACCTGTCAACGCGACAAATCCTTCGCGAAACCAAACAGCAGAGTTAACTTAAATAGAAACATACGAAACAGAATAACTGTGAAAAATATTCGCAAAGTCAATGTAGCGATTTAACTACTTACGAATAAAATGATACGTCGTGAAATTCACTGATTACGTTTTACTACAAAACGAGCTACACCATCTGCTGACGTTTCTTCAGTAGAATCATCTGTTCGTTAAAAGTTCTTAATCCTTCCTCCTCCAGACCCAAGCCTGAAACATTAAAGAACAAGATGTAGCAGATGCAGTAGTAAGATGCGAAAGAAGTGAAATATACGAGGATAAAAAAATGAAATCAAACCTGGTACTTGACGCGCTGGGTGAGAAGAATTCTCCTGTACGATTATGCGATCGAACATTGTTCAAAGAGCGGTCGGGGAACGGGAACAAAAAGCTCGAACAGAAACGCGTGCCACCCCCTACCAACGATGCCTTGCCGTTCAACTGAGGCGTACGATTCTTTTATTTTCTTCTTTCTTTCCTCCCCTGTTTTCAGGTGGTCCACGAGAGAATAAATAGAGAGGAAGGAACGAAAAAAAAGGGGCGACTCGCGAACGAATTAATAATGCTGCGCGAGAGGAGCGCGGAGGATCGGCTGAACTTTACGTGAGTAAAGCGGCGAGCCGGGTCATGACCCGACGACCCATCCATGTCCGATATCTGGGCCACACTTGAATTTTAATCCACGCTGCAATTGCCGCCGCGGTCGATTAGCTCTTCCACCGTTTGCCCGACGAGTTTACCGAGCTTTAACTTTTGCTTCGGACCGGCCTGTCTGCCTAGCTGGCTGCTTAACGCTGAAAACGATAGCTTGGTGTCCGAATTTTATTGGATAGCTTGGCACGCGATCAATACGAGCAACGAACCTCGTTGAGGATGCTGAAGATTGGATGGAATGAAAATAGCACAGGAATTTAAATGGGGATTCCTTTTTCACGTTTCTGGGGGGCAGTCAGTGCAATTTTGGGAAGTTTAGTGTTAGGTATGATACCAGAAGGTGTGAAGATTCATGAGAAAGAGATTTTTAAAGATCACTTAGTATGGACAAAATGATATCTAATTGTAGTAGATCAAAAAATTCGGGCACCAGAAATTAATTATTCATTATGTGAATTACTTTACTGTAGAAAGAATAGTTGCGTTATTCTATTCATTTTGCTAAATTATACGTACTCGTTATGATTTATTTTTCTATGTTTCCAACTGTGAGTTTGAATAGTAATTCCTTGGGTTTTCATTACTAAGGCGAGAATTGGAAGTGGAATAAAAGGAAAATGTGGTGGAGAATTATTCTGTAATTTTCTAGTTCGCAATCCGTATTCTAAGCGAAATTGTCTCATCAATCTTCAGTAGCTACGCTTGAAATAGGTGTCGATGACTATCAAGGTCTCGACAGCGACGATTTGTTCATTTGCATGTCGCCAAGGGAGACCCAACCGTTTCTGTTCTACAAGGGATCTGAATGGAAGAACAATTAGAGTATTACGATTGTTCCGTCGATACTGATCACGGGTACCGGAAAATTAGTGTCGAACAGATTCCAGTCTCGAATGCGTCTTTGTTGAGAATGGAGGCGAGCTTACTCGTGCTTTGACTTGCATGCAATTAGTATACGTCCTTGCTACCCTTCTAATTAATTATTCTTGAACAATGTGTATCTTGATGTTTACGATTGAAGGCATCAGTTAACAATAATTACAAATTCCATATTTTTTTCATATATTAGAGTATTGTCTGAATTATGGTATTAATTAAATATTTGTAATGATTACCTTCAATCGTATACGTTCACAGTAGCATATTTTATTTTCTTCTTTGATCGTTATAGCCAGGATAAAGATTTGAGTAGTTCAAGGTCACTTCTTCCATCGCATGACTTTACTTTTTCTTGTAGATAATTTTTCATTTTGCGTTTTATAAAACTAAAAAGTAGATACAGACTTAATGAATGTACAAAGAAATAAATTCCAACATGTTTTGAATAACAAGGAAGTGACCCTGAATATTCAAAATTTATTTTAATACCTAGTTTTTTAATAAAGTTTAAAGAAAATGTCGGAAAAGACATTTTAATCCCGGAATGATTCAGTCACAGGGGATCACACAATTATCCCGGAAGAGGACAGAAGTGAAGGTGCAACGATGGGGGTGTACGTGATAGGGTTGGTCGGCGTGATCGTGTTTTATGTAGCAGTGTTGGGTGTTGGCATTTGGGCGGCTGCTGTGAAGAAGAAAAAATCCCATCATGGCCAAGACGCCATGATACTAGCGAATCGTGGCTTAGGTCCTCTTCTTGGTGTCTTCACTTTGATCGGTAAGTTTCGGAAATTAAAACAAATAATAAAGAAATAACAAGAAAGAATTAACCTCAAATGTAAATTTGAATCCTGCCGAAATAAAATATTACAAATTTTATAAAATAATCAAATAATTCAAGTCCTTTCATCAAAAATTCGATTAGAAATGAATCTTATCGTATAATTAGGATTATCTGAATTTATCTATACTTCCTGAAATTTCGACTTTACTAATCTGTTCAGCACAGATTTGAAACCGACGCGATTATTCCACTTAAGGTTATTAAACTATAATTCCAAACTCTACCTGTTCTTATCGGAACTATAAGTATCTTAATTGCGATTCTACCGAATTAGGATTAGTAGAATAGTATAACCTCTCCGTGTTCCAAGTTCAAAAGCACAAGATTACTCAATTCCTCGCATAGACCTAAAACAAGCTCCACTTATAAAAATGATTCGCAATTCAAATTTCATTTATACCAATTTTAATCTCTAATATAGACGTATTAAATAATTTACGAAATCAACGATCATACAACTAATCATCAAACCTGAACAATTAACGTTTCGACAACCGCGACGTTTCCATTTCTGCCAAGAAGTTCTCCAGAGTAATGATTTTTCTTTATTTCTTCTTCGATCCTTTGAACGTGAATATGAGCTCTTTTATCGTGGCAAGCACAGTAGAACATCGAGGGAAATCCCGTCTTTGTCATCGCGTCAATCGCATTTCTCGTTTATTCCTAGTTCCTTTCTTTATTCCTCTGGTTTATTTCCTCTCGTTCGCGCGTTTTCATTCCATTCCTTGTGTTTACCCCCACCACTACCTCTACGCCATTCCCCACTCCATGTCGAGTTACCCCCACCACCGAATTGCGATGAATCCGTTCTAACATTGCGAGAACCGCGTTTCATTTTACGTACATATTCAACCGTACTCTATATCCGCGGTGGAAATCATTTTTGCATCCCTCCATTAGCTTAATGAACGCTACGCGAGAAAATATGCCACGGAAAATGCGCCGCTCGGCTATAACTGTCCGTATTATGTTCTTTCTACTCGCGCTACCTCTCCCTCTCTTGATTCTGCAATGAATGAATGGTAAGTGCAACGGCGGAGGGGGTTTGTACGCGTTTCTGCGGTTGTTCCGATTGTTCTAGCGACGTTCGGTCAGCCACGGCAGGATTTGGGTCGGGGAAATTGGTTTTACACCGGGAATAGCTTTAGGCGGTGTGCTTACGTATAGTTTATGGTTTGATTGATCAAGTTCGTGTTGGTTGGTACTCTGTAGGATGGGATATGAATTTTACAAGAATTTAAATTTACTAGTTGAAATTGGTCCAAATTGATAGTACGACTATATATTCATCGTTACTGATTCTTGAATTAATCAATACGTTGGTATACTTGTGTTCACACGATATAAAAGCTCTAGTTATTAAAATAATTTTATGTAATATCGACATGTAGTTACATAACATAGTATAACATTAGTTTGACCTGAATGAGAAAATAGAATATCGAACTTCTAATTCTAGGTAAACAAATATTTACATAAACCGTAAATAATAATAAATACGTTGAAAACTCGCTGAAATGCTTATTTCCACTTCTAGTCAAAGTAAATTCCTCTAAGCAAATATATGCTAATATTCAAATCAAGCCCCCACCGCCTGCTACTGTAAAATTACCAAAAATAAAAGAAATGTCATTTCCTGTTAGTACAAAGAAACCCGGTACCCTATTGGCAGAGCTTTTACAGATCACCGGTCTCACCCCCTAACATTTTCCCTGGAAAGAGCGATTTCCCGCTCAATCGAAGCTAACTAATCGAGAGAAACGCCGTTCGTTCTCTGCTTTTTTCCACAGCCACGTGGGTCGGCGGCGCCTACGTGAACGGGACCGCTGAAATGATGTTTACCAGAGGATTGGCCTGGTGTCAAATGCCCTTCGGTTACAGCCTTAGTCTACTGTTCGGTATGCTGATCTTCAGACATTTTCTCCGATGATACACACGCATGTTGTCTAGGTGTAACCTTAACCCTTTAATTGCCACGCATCAGAGGAAATACGGAAGAGAAGGGGCTGGAAGTAGATCGATGGAGTAGCGATGAAATTATCAAGGCCGAGGACATCCGGCCCTTGGTATATTTATCCTTTCTTTTCTCTCTCAATTTATTCAAGGTTCTCCCTTTTATTTTATTTTTTTTCTTCCAACAATTCTGCATGCGAATAGCTACGATTCCATGAAGGTTACTCAATGAGAGGGAGTCATTGTTGTTGACTTGGTGGGCGACGTCTGAGGTGTGTTACAAGAGGGTGATGTTGATGGGGAGTTTGGTGAAGGGGCGTACAAAGGTTCAGTTGATGATTTCCTGAAAATATTTTTTAGTTTCATATGTATTATAATTCGTAAGGGTAATTAAATTGTTGAGTGTGTTTCTTTTTTAATATCAATCCATTGCTTAAAAATGAAGATTGAGTAAATATAAATGATTACCTGATGTCGTTATAATATGCTTTTATATAATCTTTTATTTGTTGAAAAATATTTTGTGATTTCAAATAATTTGCCAGAAATAATATCCCAAAAATAAGTAGTAATTAATTAACAAAAGAGGAAATATGAGAAAAGGGATGTCCACAAATTTTTTCTTTTGAAGAAAAATATCCCCAAAGAAATTTTTTGCCAAATATTTTTTCGATCATCTCAGCGATCAATCACGGGTCCAATCAGACTAACACATATAAGCCCAATTTATTTGCACGTCGACGAGTGCGCGAACCACTTTATCACCAATTTTTTGCGCATACTCCAGAGTAATGGATATCCCTTTTCGCTAACGATGTTTTCCCTCCTCTCGGTTCCCATCCCTGACCGCAGATCCCGAATTTGATTGAACTTCAATTAATCGAGGCTATACATTCACAATGAAGTTTGCGTTTCACTTAACCGAAGCCTCTGCTACCTAATTAAAAGTGCGAGTCCATTGAACTAACCTTTTAACGATTCGTCTCTATCTCTTCTACGAAAATCAAATTTTTAGCAATTCTATCAGCGCTTACGTTAATTCTCGTATTACATTCTATTTTAATCAAAGGCTGTGAAATTTTCAACTGATTTTTAAATGATGGCAATCGAAGGGTTAGTTCTGAATTGAGGGTTGTCAAAATGATGAAGAAATGTCACAGGTGCGGTGTTGTTTGTACGACCAATGAGGAAAGCAGAGCATGTAACTATGCTGGACCCTTTTCAAGAGAGATATGGCGCCGGGGTTGGAGGACTGTTGTTCCTTCCAGCTCTCTGTGGTGATTTGTTCTGGTGTGCTGCGGTGCTGAGAGCTTTGGGAAGCTCGTTGGCGGTGGTGGCTGGTGTGGATCCGGACATAAGTATGGTCGCCTCTGCGCTCTTAGCAGCTATGTAAGTAAAACGAAGTAGAGTAAATTTTGGATATCCCTTCTAAAAAAGAAATATGCCGGAGTGATTAAAAACTACATTTCAATATTACGTTCAAAGTCGTTTTACTTTGTATTGTCTAACCTGTAATTTCAAATTATTAATAATACGAAGTAATATTCTTCTTTATTTGTATATACAAAAGTTGTTCCATTTTGGATTTTATAATCTTGTGTCAACCACTAATCTTCAGCAAATTGAGATTTTGTGTAATCGACCTCGAGAACCTTAAAAATGAAATTAAACAAATTATTGAAGTAAATAAGAAAATATAGAATACAAGGAATATTAATTATTAAAAATATGAGCAAAAAATATAGATGAAAATGTAAATAAATAAACAAAGTTACATAATAAAATTTGTCGATTATGCATAATTAAAACCCAATCCAATATACTTAGTATACATAAATCCATCTGCTTTATTTTTGAAGTATGGTCTGAGAAGATAATTTCGATGAAATTTTGAAGATAAAGGTATGGATGTCATGTGAATTGCAGATATACTGTGTTCGGTGGATTATATTCTGTTGCGTGCACCGATGCATTGCAGTTAGCCTGCATTGTAATCGGCCTGGGAGTGGCTGCGCCATTTTCTGCTCTTCACCCTGCTGTTTCTTTCGAGAAGAATCTAGCGCCGCATGAATGGTTGGGAGAAATTAAGAATGAGGACCTAAGCGAGTGGGTGGATGGTATGCTGTTGTTGGTATTCGGCGGTATACCTTGGCAGGTACTGAATATTCATCGATAATTCTAATATTGTATACCGTGGCACTCGATATGCAAAGCACTTCCGGCTTTAATGAAAATTTGTTGAGGATAAAAGTTTGCAATTGATAATGATGGAGAAATTTAAAAGCAAATAAATATTTATGACCTGAAAAAAATAAATAAATGTATTTTATGCAAATGATCTAGCTATACTTATGGGAGTTTATATAATTTGTTTGCTTCTTCTTGCACCACTAGAGAAAGATGATCTTTCAAATATCAGTATAATATATCAGTCACAATAATACTAAATCAATTATTTTGAATTAATCTAGCAATCTAATCACCATATTAATAAATTCTAACAAATGTTTATCCAGGGCTACTTTCAAAGGATTCTAAGTATGCGAAGCACATCAATGGCAACGGCTTTATCGATAGCATCAATGTTCGGCTGCATGATCCTCGCGTTTCCATCAGCCTTAATTGGGGTGGTAGCTCGTGCCACTGACTGGTCATCTGTCGAAGGATTTAATAAAAGTATCATAATACACGATGAGAACGCAGCGTTACCGATTGTTCTTCGATATCTAACGCCGCAGTGGGTCTCCTTTGTTGGTAAGTTGAATGCCTACGGCGTCCTAATATCGAGTAACTTCACTTGGATAAATTAGAATCCCAATTTTTGCTTTCATCGTGAACTTTACCCAAGCCAAGTTGGAATTTATATTTACTGTAATGTTATATCAATAGTTAGATGATATTTTAATAAGAGCCTGGTTATGATCTATCGTGATTATTATTGTAATTACCTGAGAATACTATATAAATTGTAGATGGTATTCTGTAGATATCGTCAATTAAAGACGATTTATAATTGTCGATAATGAAATCAAAGGTGGCTAAAAAAGAAGTTATCTAAGAAATAATAATCACTTACATATTACATCTTTTTTTACTCTTACCTATTTTTCACTTGAAAGTAGAATGGGTGATCTAATCGTGAAATTGCGTACAAAAATTCTTTTTACTATGTAGTAGACGTTTAATAACTGTCAAGTATTCTATCACAATTTTGCCGCAAATCTCGCAAAGAAAGCGTTTCTGTGCCTACAACCATTTGACCCTCTTTCACCCTCAAGATAAGAACACTCCCCGTTTCAGGCACACCTTGTACTTACATTAGTCGCTTAAGAAACCGCGAAACAGGTCGAGTGTCTATAAAGAATAAAATTCAAGAAGTGTACAGGCTTTTCGAAGACTCTGCAAATTCTTATCAACTTACTAAGGCACTAAACTTTATTTACCTCGTTCTATAAAATAAAATTTTATGTAAAGTGAAAAAAGGAACTGTAGTTTTATTAAAAAAAATATAACTTGCAAATTAAACCTCTCACGTCTGTCAATAACATATCCTTCGTGATTGATTGTTAGGTTTGGGCGCCATTTCTGCAGCAGTAATGTCGTCGGCAGATTCAAGTATATTAGCCAGCAGTTCCATGTTCTCCAGAAATGTTTATAGACTCACACTAAGGCCAAAGGTAAATGAAAAAAATTTCGATCAATGAATTTCATAATTTCCTAAATCTTATTGAAATATTTTCTGTTTAATCGCTTTCTTAATGCTTCGAAATATTTTTTATTTATACCAAAGTATTTTATATTTCTTTCACATTTAAAATACCCTCGAAAAAATATATCTAAGAAGAAGAGAAAAAGAGAAGAAAAACTCTAACGAGTCAGAACTCTTTTATTTTTCTTCTGTTATAGGCGTCTGAAAGAGAACTGAACTGGATACTCCGAATATCCGTGCTTGTGGTCACAACTCTCTCGACTATAATAGCTCTTACTGTGGACAGCGTTTATTATCTGTCGTGAGTAGTAATAGAAACGCTAGAATTACTTGCTTTGTTGCCTCACTGACCGTCGACAATTAACCAGACAAACTAATTAACCCAGTGGACTCTTCTATTTTAAAGGTACTTGAGCTCTGATCTTGTTTACGTGGTGCTCTTCCCACAATTGTTAACTGTAGTCCATTGGCCCTCTCTGGTCGACACTTATGGATGCCTTGCGGGTTACTTTGTGGCTGTTGTTTTACGTCTTTGTGGTAAGAAAGATAAAAATTCCATTGTAAATAATATTTATTAACTAATATACTATTATCCCTTAATAGTAATAAACTATCTACATTATAAGATGAAAGTCATGTTTAAAATATAAAATTTTTTTTTAAAGAAACAGTTGTTTCATGATCTGTTTATATAAATTTATAAAATTTACTTATTGTCATAAATTGATTTTTTAATGCCAGTATTCATTGTAAAAAATTGTTTTACTATATTTCAGGCGGTGAAAAAGGTTTAGGTATGCCAGCACTGATCGAATATCCTTTCTATGACACGGAAACGCAATCTCAAAAATTCCCTTTTCGCACTGGTGCCATGATAGTTGCTTTATTTACCCAGCTCATTACGAGTTTCTTCACGAGAAATCTCCTCGGAAAAGGTTACTTTCCGCGATGTTGCGATGTTCTTAGTGTCTATTCGCCTGGGAAATCGAAGGATCAATCTGGAGTCGTACAAAGTAGTTCTGGTGCTGCTCTGATGGATACCTCCTCTGTCAATGTACGTCATCTTTATCGTTTTGATTAAAAAGTTATTAAACTTATTTTGATTGCCTAGATATTTAAAAAATTGTTAAATATCTTTTCCAAAAACAATATTCTTTCTAAAAAAGAAATATTCCTTTTAGGAAAAATAAAATATTATCCTAATAAAAATTTAAAAAAGTATAAATCCTATTTCCCTAGAAATCTACTTCAGGTATGGATTCCTGCGATGGCATCGGACCCGGAAGTTACGAGGACGATCGTACTACTTCTAACTCCGTTGAAGATATGACCGATCGGGGAGATAATGGGGCTTTAGCTAACGATCCCTACGATAAAGATACTCCCAAGATCAACAGCATTGGATCAGTCGTTCAAAAAGCGAACCAAAGCCTCCAACATCTGCAGACTCTAAGGAACTCTATTCACACATCTTCCATTGGTGGTAGACATACTCCAACTCCTAATCAGTACGCCCCCATACAAAGCAACGAAGTATCCAGAGGCCAAATACTAGGTGTACGAAATCTAAGAGGTTCCATGGGTCAAATGCTCTTGCCTACCGATCGACCAGTTATTGCTTCCAACAACACTACGGGCATAGTGAACGTTCCAACCAATTCCACTATAACTACCCCAATGACACCGGGTCCACATTACACCAAGGCTAACGATGGATCATTACTAAACGATAAAACAAGAGAAAATGAGAGAGTCAGCATTGTCGATAGAGGAAATACAGAGTTTCAAACTGTTCCGGATAACATGTTGACCACTATCAATGTTAAGAAGAATGTGAAGGGCGTAAAACTGGTTGGTATGGAGGGTGGAACTTTGAGAAGACCATCACTACAGGTGAGCAAGCTCGATGTCACTTCCCTATAAATTTAAAGCAATTGTTTTATTGTTTAAATTTTGTTTTTTTTTTATCTGCATAGGGTTATATTAATTTGTATCATTATTGAATTAAATGTTTATTTAAAAAAAGTTTACTTTGAGTAGTTTGTCCGTAGTTCATCCTGTTCCTGTTTGATGGATGCCGAAGAAGAACATTTTTGAGTTCTTTAGGTTCTATCTGCTTTTTGTTGGATGTTTATTCTTCTGGTATTGCATTTGATATTGTAATAGATGATGGGAGGGCGAGGTTTCATATAAGGTATCTTTAGGGCACGTTCTCACCGACACCGTCGGTGGAGCTTGTTCATATTTTGGATAGGAGACAAAGCAGTGGTTCATACGGACCTGGGTCCCTTTCCCCGGTTCCAATGGGGATAGAAGCGTGCAAAACCCATGGGACTGCGTTAGAGGGGCAGGGTGGTAACGAACATTGCAGGATCAAGAGGGGTATTGTCAGGCATCACAGGTATCTATAATTTACAAATTATTATACTCATCAATATTTTATTCATGCTCATCAGTAGTGAATGATTTTATTTTATTTCATTTGTTAATGTTCGTCAGTAGTGAATATAATTTCATTTAGCAGTAAAGAATCTAATTAGATAATATAACTTTGTTAATGAACAGTGAGTTATTTTGGAATTAGTTGATGTACCTTGCCTGATCATTTAATTGTGATAAATAAATTAAAAAATTTGATATTAATTTCTCTTTGTGTAGTTTTGCACTCAATGATTTACAGCTTGATCTCGAACGTAAAAGCTTTGTATCTATCGTTAAACTGTGAAAAGAATACACATAGCGACCTACCATCAACCAATGAAAATTTAAACAAATTCTTCGATTTTCGAACACCCTCTCCGATTGTACGTTCAAACGTTTGCGCAGCTTTAATGACACGGGAGACCGTGCACTAACGACCCTGGCCAGGCAACCAACGTATCCTTCGATGCCATTGCGCCCCGAAGATTGTCGCATGACTCTGGCGAAGAAAGACAGAAGAACGTCAACGATCGCACGTCATGGTTCCGTAACAAATGAAAAAGAATTAAGCGGATGCACGACTGGGCTAGTTGTGTGTAGTCCTACTTACAACATGTATAGCTCGGCTGTGAAGAATTCCAACTACTTCGTAACCGATGATGAAGCAGTCAGCAGGTTTTAAACGCGTACAAAGATCACGAACTATACAAGAGGACAATCGAATTCCGCCTGATCAAGTCACAAGCCCGAATACGTCCTTTTTCGGTCTCATTTTGTTTTTTGAACAGTCGTACAATTTTACCACTGCCCAACTTTTATGACTTTCATAGGAAATCGCCACTTTTTTATGTAAAGACTCCCCCTTTGGATGAAGATAGATCCCATGTCCTGTTCGTATGTTTCTTCGAAGACATTGTTCCGTTTTGAAACGACGTCGTTCCGTTTGCGGTGATGATCAAGTTAGTGCAAAAGACGAGGAAATTTTATATGATTTATCGTGGACTCGTGGAAAGAGAATTCTGAATTCTATATCATCTGTAAATGAATATTTTAATATCATGATTGATAAAAAGAATAATCAACTGTGAGAAATTTTCAGCGATTTACAAGAGTTCGTTAAGGTTTTTGATTTGAAAAAATATATGCAGATTTACAATGATTTGAAAAGACTTTCAGTAACTTTAAGGAATTTGTAACAATTTTCAAAGTACATACAAAAGATATTTTCTCACTTTCAAATATTTAGTGTTCCATTTTTCAAATTTTTTAAACCTTTTTATAAGAACGTAATAAAATTATGGAATACATACATACATACATATAGGACTACAAATATTATATTTGTAACCGCAAACGGTTCGTCCATGATTGTTTTTGCTCGCATAGGATCTGTTCCACATCAAATTAATGAAATTTCATGTAAAGTACACGCCTGAAAATATTAAGATAGCGATAAGGTTTTAGTTAGCAAAGGGTGAAACTCGTAAACGTTAGATTAGTGTGAAACACGTTTCAAACGACGCAACTCCTCTTGTAAGATAATTTAGTTAATTGCCAGTGACATTCCACTCGCGAACGAACCTTTCGATTCATCGCAAACGCATTTGAAAAGATGACTTCAGTCTTACCTTTCGCTGTCACCGTACTTAATTCACTACTCAGGAACGTAACTTGCATTTTAATGTTGATTTTATTAAACTTATCAGACGGACATGAAAGCAACCGAATTTTTCGATTTTACATTTACACTATACATATTCCATAAAAATAAGACTTTTTTAACCAAAGTCATCCATATTTACCAATTTCGAGGTTCTTTCACGTTCGGCTGATGAACAATCGGCATCTAGTTTTAGGCGGATTTTAACATGGAGATTTTTGAACCCACAGTTACAAAGCAAGAAGCCTTTTAAATCGAAGAGTTCACATCGTAATAATAATCGTAATGCGAGCGCGTCTCGATATCTGTGCATCCTGACATCTATCGTCTACTTCTGTAAACAAGTGAAAGACTAAAACTGTATCTCTCTATCGCGTTATTCATGCTTCTGTTAGATTTGAAAACACCTTATGTGATTCACGATATTCTCCCTACTTGGAGTCAAGTATCTAAACGAATTTTGACGCAAAAACATCTTCGACAGTTTAGAATATTTTTGGTAGGAAACCGATAATTTTAAATAATAACTAAATATTAATACACGAATTAGCAATGAAAATATCGATATGTGACTTATTTTGACGGATGAAGAAAAGAGGTTAAAGGCGTACATTTTTCTCGGAAAAATACAGTTCTAATCATGGATGTGTTTTCTAGTCGTTAAATCCCCTTTTCAGACTAATCCAACCAAAGGATCCAAGTAACCCATTTACAAAAAGATTAATTTTTATACAAAAATCACGAGCGAACGTCATCTTTTTTGCGTGACTCTGTGTAGATAGAGCGATTGATAAATCAAGGAGCTTTGGCCAGTTCATGTATGAAGGGAAAGGAAGGAGGGTAATCTTCGAGAAACATGATTATTCATTTAGGTAATTATGTATGAGGTAGATTAGCCGATTTAGCTGATAACACGGTGAGAATTGGTGCACGCGACTCCACCACTTCTGATGTCCAGTTCATAAGAGTAAAGAAGAGGAATGTGAGAAGGGGTATAGCTGTGAGAAATAGAGGCAGCAGCATGAGCTTCGTTACTCGAAGCCACTTCAGTTTTGTTTCCAGCATGAGGAAAAATTCCATGTTTGATGCATTGCTTCGGTAAAAATCTTTCTTGAATTTCTGATCTTTTAAATGAAGAGATTTTAAAAGATTTTTTAATGTTTAGGTTTACTAATTTACAGACTTCCTAAATCTCTGCAATTTTGAAATGCGAAGGGTCTAAATTTTCAACTTGATACTAAATAACATGGATTATTTTGTACATCTGGATCATTAGGTATCAAAATTCTGAAATTTTCTAATTTATCCTTATATCATTAAAAATATATGATTTAGATTAATCATTTGATTCGATAAAAGTAAAAAAACGGCAAACGTTATTTTTCTTCCAGCTGGAAACGGGTTAGTGGTTGGGTAGGGAGAGGGGGAAGGGGGAAGTCAGGGGTTTCCGTCGCTCAACCTACTTTTTCGTACTCGTGAGGGAAGGTTAAGCTGCTGGATATAGAACGTCCAATGTATTACGTGCAAATTTATGATATTCCGACGACGAAGAATAACGATATTTTTCCACCGATTATACGTCTAGTCTTGTAGGATTAATAAACCGTCAACTGTAGCTGTACGATATATATAAACATACGGAGGTTTCTATCTATGTTAATCGGTGTAACGATAGCGAGAATTACAGTCATACGAAACCTCCATTGGCTCAATACCATATGCGACAAAAAACAATTCTTTGTAGAGTTAATGATCATCCAACACGCTTTCGATCCTTTGCACGATACCGTGTAACATCGTGCTATTTTTCTTAAAAATTTCTAGAATGAAGAAATCCGTTTAATTATCGTATCACTAGAACGGTTTGAGGGTGAGGCGATGATTAAAGTGGGTTTTATAATTAAGTTTTCTCCCGCCTTTCATATTTCATACTTATCATCTATTATCTTTTAAGAAAATACTTATAGTTTCATTGATTTAATTCATTGATTTAGTATATGTCGATCTTAGTTGAGATTTTTGTGCGGAGAAGAATGTAAGTGAAAGAAGTAGTTTAAGTCCGTCGTTGATCAGACTAAGTATTGTAGCGTCTAGTATAAATGAAAAGTCGATTACGGAAACAGCAAAAATTGTAAAAATTTAGTTTAAATTTAGAACTGAAACTTTAATATTTCAAATTCAAGCTCAGAATTTTTTATTTGAAATTTAAAGTCAAAATTGATTAAGTAATGATTATTATTTGATTATTTTTTAACGCTACTAACTCATAATTCTCATCCTCACTTATATGCTGGTTCGCAACGAACTTTTGAATAGTTCAATCTTTTTATAGTTTTTCCTATAAGTCTGTGACACCTCTATATTTTAAAATCTTTTTCATTTTTATTGAAAACTTTAGTATAATTTATTACCTGAATATATTTATTTCTTACATTCACCTATTTCTTTTTAACATCAATTATCTCTGTTTTGCCTAGAATGTCGATTTTCGGTACTTTTATAAGAACGATGATTAGAAGCTTGTAAGCGCAAAATAAACGTCGAAGACCTATATCAGTATTATTAAAACATACAAAAAGGATTCGAGATTTAACGAACGATTCCTGGAGGATAGCCTCGTGAAGGACCACTACGGTCTTTCATAGTAAAACTTAGCAGTTAAGGTAGAATTATTTATAGTACACTATTCGCGCTATGTATTTGTGATCTTTCCAAATACTTAAACTACTAAGCAATTAACATTTCCTTTCCTTTTTTAATTTATTAATTGAAATATTAGTTCAAGAGAAAATATTATCCATCCCTTAGATAGTAATACTTAGCAATTATTTATACCAAAAATAGTTTACATAATACTTAACCATCTCCATTAGGAGCCTTTTAGCTGTTTCGATATTATTAAAATTTTATTCTTTTCTTTATCTACATAAAATTAATAATTCTTTGCGATATCATTCTTTTGCTCTTTTATGAGATTTTCAAATACATAGTTACGAGACAATAGCCTTCTACACTTTTTGTTTAAGGTTCAAGTATAATTCCCATTAACATCTAGCTTTATATCATGTATTCTCACGTACTGCACTGTAAAACGAGTACGAGAAACGTTTCGTTCTTTCGAGTCGACGACACAATAGACGATTGTGTTGAAACGTGAATCACGTGCCAAATTTTAGAATAAACTAAAGTGTATTGTACACGTACGCTCGCGACACCGATACACGAGCAATTATATAAGCTTGCCTTAAGTTAAGGACCGTTTATTACGATAAGAATACTTCGACTCAACCCTTGTTGGGCGTGATTAAACAATCTTTTAACTTAAATATTTAATTTTATCTCGACTGAGAAAAAAAAAGAGAAAATTTATGTCTTTATATGGTGAAATAAATTTCAACTTCTCTTGAACATTTTAATGTATTCATTAATATGCAATCGTTATACAAAACTTTTGGAAATATTTAAAACGTTATAAAATCAATTTTTCATCATGTTTGTTCGCTCAATTGGGGTTGCAAAGTTCACATAATGTCCAACGCTTCGAGCCCGTCATTTAAATATTCGAAAATCGTATATTTAGTGAGAAATATTTATTATTATTAAAATTACAAATATATAATCATGCATCGCAATGTATCTTAAATATTACTGGTGTACCTTTGGAATGGTTACGCTATACACCAATTATCGACCAATTATTAAATTTTTAAACTTAAAGTTATTTTATATTTTCATCCTTCTTAATACCGATAATTAAAATTAACGAGAAGGAAGCTCGAAGTGTTAATACATAAGCAAGGCGAAGGATACAAATACATATCTTTGGTTTCTAATGTGCAAAAAGAAAAAATATCGTGTGATGATAAGTTTCATGTTTTTCTTCGACTCCATTTTAAGTCACTTGATTTCTGTCTAACGTGATCTGCTGCGATGTAGATATCCTTCGACTTGCTAATGATGACTCGTGAAAACATGTAACATCAAATTCTAATTAATCTTATGATTAGCAATTTATGCCAGAGACATTTCGTCCCCCTGTGCAATCGTTGTAAGCAAAGAGGTTACTAAATATGATTTCTTTCTCGTTGCTCGTAACGATTGCTCTATTAAATGTATTTGTATCGATTACAGAAATCGAGGCGACGGTTATTGTAAAAATAAAAAGCTCAAAGTGCCGAATAAAGGAGACAAGCATATATGTGCACAGTTCATTGTTTATTAATAATGAAAAATCATCAATTTTATTTCTTTTTATTTTATGGTTTTTGTCCATTTGTATTAATTATTATCAATTAACGTCATTCTTTAACAATCTGGATTACAATTGAAATTCTTTGGAGTTATAAAAATATCTTTATCTCAAATACGTCGTACGGCAATACCACTGTTTACTTAATTATTCTGGTGTAAGATATATAATACTTTTTTGTTGATATTATGTTGTTTGGATATGAAATATACTTAAACTTAGCGATATACTTAAATAAAATAAACGATAGCAAAATGGTATAATATAAATAAGATAAATGGTAATAAACGGCTATCAGTTTCTAACGTTATTAGATTTGATGAGACGATGAAAATAGAATTTTATTAAAAGATATAAATTGACGACAATAGCGATGAAAATACATATTTTATGAAAATATTGATATAACACTGAGATAAATAATATTCGGTAGAAAAGATTTATATAACATTACAGTAGAATTTCCGTATTCACGGTTGACTGTGGTTTGAAAAAATTAGTTAAAGAATGTTAGTACGAAACTATGGAGCCCATACTATATGGCTACTATGGCTAAAACAAATGTAATCTCAGATGCTATAAAGTCAATTCCTGAATATCATTTCATCGGCTATTTACTTCTCTTCTCGAGGTATCAACGGTTTTAGTTAACGATGGCGTCAAAGCGTAAGTCAATTTGAAAATTCAAGAACTGATTTGGACTTAAAGATATGGAACTGTTTTGGAACAAAATGTTCGAAGGCAAAATAAGAATCTGGATAAAGCGTGGAAAGAAAGATTAACTCTGACACTGTCTCACAATGTTACAGGACATGTAATAAAACCAAGCGTAATATACAAATCACAGAATCCACTTGCTCTCAAGAACAAAGGCAAGATCTCTAGCTGTGTTCTGGGAGCATGAAAAGAAGACATGCGTGATAGCTACTTTATTTGCGGTATGGATGCAGCAAACTGTAAATATCTGCTGGAAGAATTTATGGAGCGCCGCAGTAGAAGATTTTCAAGGATTCCCAGAGATTAATGAAGATGTCGAAAAAATAATTGTGGCAGAGGTGGAGAAGGATTCATGCTCGATAAAAAGATGGTTGAACATATTGAAGAACGCAGTGATGTGTTCATAAACGAAGAACTGGAAGAACTTATCATCTCATCTGCAGCAAAAGCGGAAGTAGATAAAGAAAATGGTGAAATGGTGGAAGAAGAACTAGCAACAAGGGCTTTAAAAAAATTTCACGAAGTGTTCCGTATTACACAAACATTAATAGACAAAATCATGAAATACCATTCACAGATGGACATTAAAGTACACTGTATAACTACCGACTCATCGCAACCACTGCAGCTACAATTTGAAAAATGAAAGAGGAATGAACAGCAATTAGCTATTACGATGTTCCAAAAAGTGACGGTATAAACGTATTCAACTATCAAGGACCCTCAATCCTGTCGTCATTACTAGGATCACCAGAAGCAGATGCGCCTGTATAAATATGTACATATGTATAAATACGTTATCACGCACATATACGTAATAAATACAAAATAAAACGTATTACAAATAATGAAATAATAATAAATAACGCGTGTAATGAATTATGTATATGCAGTATTATCCGTGGAGAAGTTTGGAACCGGTCTCCCGTGAATACAGGAATTCTACTGTATATATTACAACTATGAGATATATTATAATATATATAATTTTAACATACTAATACAATATTCACTTATAGATCACAAACTATAACTATATTTTGTCGATGTTCCATGTTTTACTAGTCCGAGATTCAAGTAACATTTTACACTTCATTTTGAAACTCATGCATCTCAAACTAAATTGTGTTCAACTTTGTGAAGATTGAAATCATTAAAATTATAGAAACGCAAATTGCAAATATCGCATACAAAATCGTGTGCATTTTTTATATGCATTTGCAACAAATTTTCAGAGACAAATATCTGCGAACAAGAAGAACATGCAAATCTAACTTCGTAACTTGTAATTGTTGGCTGTCTGTTTGATATATCGTGTTGATTGTTTGCTATTTGGTAAACATCATTTGTTCCAGAAATATTGATTAAATTCTGTAAATAAATCATTAATAAATAAATCTATAAAGAACTTATTATTTAATTAACTGCTAATGTTAATCACGGATTATTGAATTAACTCCTTAAGTAGATAAAGCGGATCTATTCTTATCGTAAATTAAGTAATATCGGCTTCGGCAATTGGATCAAAAAATGATTATTTCTGTAGGCGATTAAAATTAATATTATACCATCTTATAAGTATATATAATTATACGATTTTTCATTAAAATTATTAAATACCATACATAAACAAACAAAAATTTTCTGCTTAAGGAATTAATTACACATATTTTATTACTGCAACCAATATACCTGTGATTGCTCTATATATGATGTATTCACAAGTGACACTGGTTCACTATTATAAATTTGTGGTTGATATATTCGTGGTTGATATATTTGTTGTTGTGCTGGTTGCTGCATAATTCCTATGGTAGGTATGTTCTGTACAGGAGGTGCTGTTTGATTAATTACTATTGACATTCCACCAGTAGAATGATTCGGATTTTTATAATAAATAGAGGAAGAAGCACTTCCTGCTATTTGTTGGTTGGTTGTTATTTGCTGATTTTGTTTAAGCACTTCAGTATTACTATTACTATTTGAACTACCAGCAGCAAGATAAGGATACTGATAACTGATAATAGGCGAAGAAGCACACTTAATTCCTGATTGATTCGTAATAGTTTGTTGATATTGTTTACGATTCGGATTATTTGGGAGGATATTAGTTGTGGTCACTGTTTGTAAATTCTCGTTGTCAAGTCTTTGATTATTATGCCCACATTGGGTGTTAGTACCCGGTAAATTGTGCATCAAACATTCTGCTATATCGTTTGAACGAAAATTACAGAACTTACATTTATATTTATATGGATCATTTAGATTTATCGAATTAACGAAAGAAGTCAGTGATTTATTTTCAGAACCAGATGCAATACGTACTTTCTGTGCATTCGATACATTGGCAGTATTTGCTATTACTTTGATAGATGTAATATCATTCTTGAGTGTAGCTGAACGTGGTATAGCTGTAGTTGTTCGAACAATATTACACGCTGGTAAATTTTTATGATATGCCGATGTTATAATTTGCGAAGGAGATGAATGTTTGTTTTGAGTCATATTTGTTTGTAATTGCTGCAATTGTTGACTATTTATTATGTTAGTAGTAGATGGTAGCTTCGGTAGCAACTTTCGATAAATTACATTAGATGAAGATAATGGCAATGTATTTGATTGAGAAGGTATTGATTTTTCATATGACGATGATTCTCCAAACTTATTTATCCCTGGAATGGAGTCTGCAGGTTGTTTTGGAAATAATTCTTTTTCAATAATTTTGTGCTTCTTACCATTTTTAATCAAGCCATCATCGCTCTTAGGATGTTCTATTAAATTATCAGTATCTTCAACAGTACAACCACAAAGTTCTGCAAGAGTTTTTACTCTTAAAAATCCTGATTTTGGTTTTAGTAAACTTTGCTTTTTTCCTGATGGTAAAATCCTTGGAATTGATGATTCTTCTTGATTTACTGATGATGAATCTGTGTCATAAACTTTATTCTGTATACTTTCTACATTTTCCATAACTAATCTATCACTTTTTGATTTTGCTTCTGTTTCAAGTAAATTATTATTACTAACATTATTCCTAAATGCATGCAAATTTTGTGAAACATTTGTCAATTTAATATTTGGATTAGACATTTGAGGATTTAAATTAGTATCTTGAGATGATACTAAAGGAATTACGTTTTTAGAAGTAAAAGAACTTGTTGCAATTGGCATAATATTCTGTGAATTTTCTGAAATTGCATCATTCTGTGGTGATGATCGAATATTTATATCTTTTTCCAATCTATTAGTTATATTATTTTTTGATATTACACAAGTTTGTGTGGTGGAAGATGTATCTAATTTGATATTAAATGAAGTTTGTCTTTCCTTATTTTCTTCTCCTCTTAGTGGTTCAATACATTCTTCTGAGTGTTTTGTCAAATCTATTATCAATTCATGTTCAGAATCATCTTCGCTTCCTTCTAATATCTTGATTAATTTCTCTTTATCACTATCTGTATTAGATCTTGTTAAAGAACCTTCATTTATTTTTTCTGTTACTTGAGTCTCCGTGTGTAATGATTCTGATGGCTGTTTCTCAACAGACAGTTCTTTTGTTGCTATGAAACTAGAAACACAATCTACCTCTGAGTCCGATGCAGAACTAGCATTATTTGTAACTTCATCGGCCTTAGAATTTGTCTGTTGATTATTTAACTTATGAATGATATTGTGCTCACGCATACTTTTAGAAGAATCAAAACCAATGTTACAAAAATTACAAATGTATTTTGTTTTCTCATAATTTACTATACAATTCAGTACATCGCTTTTAGTTTTATGTTCTTTTCCATGTTCTATGAAAGAATTTAAATTATTGCGATATGTTTTACTGCATTGTGAACAAACAAAACATACATGTGTTATATTATGTTTTAACCAATGATTCTCAAAATCATCCAAATTTTCAGCTATTGCCATGCAAATACTACAAATAAATACCACCTTGGCAGCTGTGAATGATATACAAACAAATTGAGGATCACTATTACAATTATGTTTATCCTTTATGTGTTTATAAAACTCTGTTCTTTTAGTAAAAGTATCATTGCATAAACTACAAGTTATTTTGATTGTCAGATGTGACTGAATGCTAGTACTTGAGTTTTCTACAACAACTGTATCTTGATCTGACTTAATTCCATTACATCTTCGAACGTGTTTTTTTAGATCATCTGTAGTAACGAAAGGTAGTTTACAATTATAACAAACGTTTTCTGCTACTTGAATGTATTCTTCCATAGATATAGTTGAAGTTACTGCATTATGCGTAGATAAATTGTCTATTTTTCTCAATTTGGTATTTATTACAGAATATTTTGGAAATGAAAGTTCATTAGCTACCCAGAAAGGATCCCTTGCATGTTTTGTCCAATGAATATAAAAAAGTGTTCCTATTCCAAGAAATATAACTTTGCAGATATTACATCGAAAATCTATTCTACAATTTTTTTTAAAACGAGCATGTATTTCTAAATGATGACGCACATCTTGGACTGAACTAAATATCATACCACAAGTAGCACAAAATAAATTTGGCGAACGGCCGCTGCAAAAGCGATTCTGATTACATTTTCCGTGATCAGGAAGACGACAATGATTCTCAAAACATTCCATGCTTCTAAATAATACTCTACAAGTATGACAAAGAAGAACTATTTCGATTTGCAAGCAATTTTCATTAGTTCCTGGTTTATTGTGACACTCGCATATCGTGAACGATTTTTTACTGCTTCCTATTTTATTTGTTTTTTCTTTATCTGATTTTAATGATGAACATAATTCTACACTTTGTAAATCGTTTTCATTCACGGTATTAGATTCTCTATCTCGAATTTCAGAATCTTTTGTAATTAATGGCTTATTTGATTTCTGTATATGCAACAATTCTTCCTTATCATTAACTTTTTGAGTCTTTTCATTTATATGAATTGTGTTATCTACAGTGCTATTTCCACTTTCATTCAACTTTTGTTTCGCAAGTTTGTATGCTTCTTGCAATTCTCTCTCTGTATGCAAATAAATATGAGCTGCAAGATCTGGTTTTGTTGGAAAGACTTTTAAACAAATACTACATTCATTTGAATTACTAACACTCTGAATCCTTTTCTTCTTTTTCTCTTTATTCAATAAACGTTTTGATACATCTTTTTTCTTTTCCTGTTTATTACCTTCACCAATGACAGTTTTTGATGGATTAAAATGTTCTATACTATTTTGCTCCAGTGTTTGTGATGGTCCTGATATCTTTGCTTCTGAAGAACAAAGTATCGTTTCTTCAAATTTATCGGATGATTTGTTAAAATTTTTTGAAGAACATATTAAAGTATTACTTTGCTTTTGTGTATGTGTAATTAGATGTGGCTGTAGATCAGAATAATCTTCAAAACAAAGATCACAAACAATACATTTATAAGTAGTATCTCTAGAATCTTTTTTATCCATAAATTTTTTATGTTTTGTTGGAGATATTATGGAAGAATAACAAGTTGAAGCAGTTTTGTTTGTAGTTTTTTTAGGATGCGTAATATTTGCAGTCTTTTTAAAAGTTTTGGATACAAATGTCTTTATCCCTGAAGCAAGAAGTTTTTTATTTTCATTTGAAGGATAAGGTTTAAAATTGATAACATTAAGTGTATTAACTTTCATTTTCTCTGGAGATTTTACATTGGTAATTAATGCTGTAAAATCCTTTTTATGTGAAGAAGATTCTATCTCTTTATTTAAGGAAGACATTTCATTTATGGATTCTATCACGGATCTTGTGTGCAATGTATTTGCTGATTTTTCTATGTCAATAGTATTTCCATTGATATTTGATAATATAGAAGAAATTTTCTTGGTAGACTTTTGTGACGAAGACAATAATGCACAATTGGTAACAATAGTTGAAACAATCGATTTCTGTTCTAAATCGCCAATAATATTTTGTTTAAATCTCTTTTGAGAGTTATCCTCAAAATGTTCTGTTAAATTATGACATGCTTTTTGAGTTTTTGACATTTTCTTTGGCTGTAGCTCCATATTTTTTATTACATTTTGAGAAGAATTCTCTAAAAGAGCTGATATGGGTTCAATCATGTTTTGTGTCTCTTCTGCAACTGCATGAATTGCATTTTTGTTTGGAGTTTCAAATATTGTTGAGTTTAAATCATATTCTGTAGATTGTACATCTTCCTCAAAATTAACTTTTAGAGAGCTTGAAGTAGATGATATCTCATCTAGAGATCTTTTATGTACTTGAACTTTTGAAAGATTAAAATTTGTTAAAGAATTTATATATATGTCCATTATTTGCTCAATTTCTGTAGCTGAGTATTCATTATTGAAATTTTTCAAAGAATCAAATTTTATTAAAATGACTTTTAACTCCTTAAAAAGATTGTATTTTTGAATAAGATCTTTATCAGAAATAAATGATTTTTGTATCGATTCTTGAATATTTTTGTTTTCCAGAATTGGTTCCTCTATTGCAACAAAATTATCATTTATGCAAATGTTATCATTTGTAAAATATACAAAATTTAATTCTGAAGACACACAATTAGAAGTATTATCTTCTTCAACATTTTTAACTATATCATCATTATCACGATTCTTCGTTATAGGTATATTTTCTGGTATACTTGGTTCCTGCTGTAACACACTTTCATATTCATTAATATTTAAATCTTTTTTGCCCGAAGAATTACATAATTCATTAGAAATATTTAACTCTGTGGACGATTCCATTTTTAACTTTTGACTATCATCTGTATATTGTGGCTCAATAGAACTATGATCTTGACTTATACTAATTTTCATAGTTTTTTCTAGTGAATTTATTCTTAATCTCTTTACTTTATCTAATCTTATTTCATGTGAACCATTATTTGTATTATTGTAATGTTTATCATCATCACTATCATCAACATTATATATACGTGCTCTTTTGAGACATCTCATACTATTTCTCACAGGAAGTTCAAAATCAGAATCAGAATCAGAATCATAAATATCATTACCATTTTCAACATGCTTATTTGACTGTTGAATTTCATTTGTATCAGAGTTAGTTACTATAGGTTCAGTTTCATGATTTTCCAAATATTTATCTCTATTAATATTTAATGATGATAATTCCAATTGTTCTGGTGCAGATACATTTAATTTGATTTGCATTTCTTTCATGCATTCTGTTTGAGCACTTGTTTCATATTCTTTAATTGGAGTTGTTTTTGCAAATGACTGTGCTATTTTATTGATTACTTCATCTATTCTATGTAATTTTATGTATGGCTGCTTAATATTCTTTAATATGTCTTTTACAAGTAACTTTTTATTCTTAATTTTTGTCTTCTTGTGAAGTAATACTCTTCGAGGTTTTATTTTGTTTTCAAAATTAGTCAGATGAGGAAGCTGATGTTCAGATTTAATCGCTTTAATGTCTTTCTTAGTCCTGTTTTTCCTATATTTTAGTTCTTTTTTTTGTATTAATTCATCTTTTATTTCAGTTATATATGGTTTTTTTTCATACCACTTTTTTATTTCTGGTATTGATAATTTTATAATATTTACAGAAACTGGTTTACATAAAGATTCACACAAAACTCGTAATTTAGTTTTTTTATCTGACAATTGTATCAAATTGTTATTTTTAAATCTTTTTCTTAATGTATAAGACTTATTCCTTATCAATTTTTGATCTGTCATTTTAGAACCTTTCAGTTCTATATTTTGCAATGTTAATGACATCTTTATTACTTTCTCTGAGCAATTGTTAAATGAAAAATACTGATTAAATTGATCTTCATTAAAATGTTATAATGCTGTCAAATACAGTCAATTTAGTATACAAGTTAACTCTAAAAATAAATTGTTACTTTATTAAATAAAAATGGTTAACATACCTTTGTTTAACGAAGATATAAATTTAATTAATAATATTTTATGATATAATTTATTGATAAAATATTTTTACTGTAACAATTGGAAAGTATCTTCATTCATGTAAGGTTATACTTCATTAACTTAAACGTTGTTTATAATACAACTCAGTAACATTTATTAATATATGTATATTTTTATATGTTTTATACATATTTTTTATTCGCGGAAATTACATTCTCGATTCTCGCACATGAGTTAGTCATATACAAGCGAACAAAATGTCATACCTACGTGAAAATCAGTTACTAACACTTTATTTTATGTTTGACACGCACGCAATTCCATATATACAATATATATACAAAAAATATAATTTTTTGTACATAAATTTATATAAATTTTAAAATGCCTAACTTTTGAAATATAAATTTGTACTATTTAAATTGTTCATTTATAATAATTTAAACAGAAAGTAGGTACGAAAAATTTAAACCAACTGTATAAAGAAGAAAGATATGCCATTCACATGATTTTTAACTCACTTTTAGTATAGAATAGCTTCTTATAAGACTTCAGTTGCAAATATTTCATAACACTTTATTCAAATTTATTGTTAATTTAATTTTCAACAAATAATGTTGTGATCATTTTTTCTAGTTTATATAGACGCATTTAAACGTCTGCACTTAAAATTCTCCCACACTTTTACTTGCGTATTGGAATTTATCATTTCGAATTAAATATGTATTCAATATTCGTCAGTAACAATATACATGCCTCTTATTGGATATATTTGCTCGCATGAAAAGAAATATCCAATTGGAACGAGTTTACGCAATATTCCATCAACAAATGGTATCCGTGATCAAGCTGCGTCATATCTTTTGTTACATCACATGTTTACATCTGTATATATACATATATTCCATGTGTGTCATACACACATGTAGTTTAAGAGAGACACCTATAGACTTTATTCTGTACTGATTGCATTGAAAACAATGTTGAGAATTCTCAAGAATTTGTTGGTGATCAAACTGGAAATTTCTTTTGCCCATTAAAACACAACTATAATAATGGGAAATTACGTGAGCAAAATTGCGTCGATGTCAAATAATGCAGTGCACTCTGTATACCGAGGTCGTAAACGAAAGTGCATCGAAGAAGATGATTTTGATTCTGAATCGGATTATATCGATCGCACGCTTCAAACTCCAAAAAAGTATGCAAATTTTAAATAAATCATTTTAGTTTCATATTGTTAATTAATAATAGTGATTATACTATCATATTGTTTATAGTACTAAACAATGTTTGCATAGTCTGAAAAAATAACTTTTTAATTTTGTAATTGATATTTAATAATATATATTTTTAAACAGCCTTTCATTTTAACAATTTAATTCCTGTGTATTGTAATTAATGGCTTATTTTTTTAATTTTTATAGGAGAAAATTGCTGACAACAGCACAGTACATTTATAAAACATTATTCCAAGAAGAAAAAGGAAGTGATATAACTGTGTTTATGTTGGGTAAAGCATGGAGATTACATAAAGTTTATATTAGTCAGGTGGGATTGCTATTTCAGCATATTATTCATGTAAATTTATTTTTGATGTCAAACTTATATATTATTCCTTCCTTTTTTTACAGAGTCCATATTTTGCAAGTATGTTTTCAGGATCTTGGAGAGAAGCAAATGAGACAGTTATAAGTGTAGAAATTGCTGATCCTAACATCACATTAGATTGTAAACAATTAAAACACATATTATTTTAATAACTGATTAAAAAAAAAAATAGTACTTTTTCTTAATTTTATATATTTTCAGCACTTTTGACAGTTTTTGGTTCCTTCTACCAGGATGAAGTCAGTTTAGAACCAAAAGATGTTATACCAATTTTAGCTACCTCCACTTTATTTCAATTGCAAGGACTAATTGATCAATGTACAGATATTATGATAGAGACAACAAATATAAAGACAGTTGTTCCTTATTATAATGCTGCTGTATCTTACGGTGTGCCAGTGGTAAAAACAGCAGCAAAAAGGTGGTTAGAAGTTAATCTCTTAGGATATGGATGGTTACATCCAACTTTTTTGAAAGAAATTACACCTGATTTAATGGCTGAGTTAATTGCTAGTCCTGATTTAATTGCTATGCAAACAGAATTTTGCATATATATGATGTTACGTGTATGGTGAGTAGTGAAATTTAAATTATTCTCGAATAATTGATTTATATATAATTATTAATTGCTTTCAGGCTTTTCGTGCATGTACACAATAAAGAAGAAACACTTCAAATTGATGAATACTTTAGGAATCATAAGTGGACGAAACCATTCCTTACAACAGAAGAAGGCAAAGAATTCGCAGCACCTTTTGAGGCACTGAGAATGAAATATCTTTTGTTACATGATCAAGATGTGAAAATTTTATATAGCGATAATTTAATACCACATGAATGGTTACATAATGCATACAAAGAACAATGGTTACATTTATTAAGAATAGATGCGAATAAAGACCGAGGGTAAGTCATAAAAGTTTTACTTTTTTTAAATGTATTTTTGATCTAGGTCAATGGACATAGTAAAGAGTCTCAAGTATGTGCCTTCTTTTTTCTTCCCTTCCTTTATACATCCAGTTTTGTGGGCAGAATTTTCACTGTAAAAAGTCTACTCTCATGTACATTCCACTTTAGGTATCTGTGACAATTATTTCACTTGTTATAGTATAATACTGGAGTAATTAATAAGAGAAAACATGTATAAAATATAACATTTTCTTTTCTTTCCTTTTGTTTTTTATTATTATTTTAGACCAAAACAGATGAGCGAGGAAGAATTCGCTCGTAAATGTTTCCGTTGTGGAAGATGCATCGAAAAAGCTGGCGAGCATATTTGGAGATGGACAGCATTTCATTTTGGATTAGATTTGGTGGTATGCTTGGATAGCACTACTTTAAGAATTAAGAGGAATCACAGACTAGACACAGACCATATAAAAGCTAATCATAGCAAACATAATATCATTTTAAAGTTAGTATTGGTTTTAAATTATAAGTTTTTCAGCAACTTCAGGTTCTCAACTTAGATAAAAAAATTTTTCAGAGTAAGCTTAATTTCACTGGATGAACAACGTCAAATAAAACATATTCAAAGTTCGGGTATGCTTAGGTTATCGCTTCATAAAAACGAAGAAGTAAGTTATATTTATATAGATTTTAGCCTTCAAAAATTATTAAAATTATAAAAAAATTTATTTTATATTTTAGAAACAGGTGATGTCTTTGGATAAACAACTTACTTATCCTTTGTATATATCAGTCAACATGCAAGTAGTTACACCATTTGTATCAACAGAAGAGGAAAAATCGGCTGACAGAGTAATATTCTCGGATACTTAGTATTCTGAATATTCAACGTCTTTTAAAGATTCGAATTGAACCCGACGACGTACGCTTATCTCAGATAATAATCTGGTTGTTCCGATTTATAATACTTAAGTATGACTAATTACTATAAATTTTATTACTCGTTCACATACTGTTTATATTATGGAGATGCTAATTTTTGATTAAAACTTTTCTAAACTCAAGAGCTTCTAGTCGACTAAATGGAATTACGCCATTAAAGTGAAGAAAATTTTATTTCTTCCGTTTGTATTTTTCCGATACTATAAACCAGATACTTATTTTTTCTAACATAAATTCAAATTTATTACTTATAGAAATATATTTAAGCTACTAGGAAAAGACTTGGCTAGAAAAACATGAGAACTTATATTTAAGGAGTTAATATTTCTTATTAACTCCAAGCAATTGAATATTAAATTTTCTAAAAAAAAAAAAAAAAAAAAA